AGCAAAAACACTTTGGAGTAGGAAGCATGATGACTCCTGTTGGCAGGAATATAAACAGGAGGCGGGTGATGAAATCCACACAGGCCTGGGGGAAAGAGGACATGTGAGTGACCTCAGTTGAGAAACACACCTTTGGAAGCTCTGACAAAGGTGACTTTCAGGTCTCATTAGGGATGCTTTTGGGCCTCATGGGGATCTCTCCTCCTGGGCAGTCTGCCCCTTAAGATATCCTGAATGAGGAAGTAAGATGGCTCCTCAGGGTGCAGCCAGCACTCCCAAGGTTCTGGGGCTAACAATGGAGTAAGGTGGGGTTGGGTGCTGTGGGGTCCCCCCTGTTTTGAGATGGGGAGTCTCAGGGGACACATTAAGGTCATGCAACTCACCTTGACTGCTGGCACCACCTGCACCTCCTCTGCTCTGTGACCTGAGGTCATGTGCCTCAGACCAAGGCCTTTACCTCCCAGTTCCTGGAGCCCTGTAAGAGGAAATGAGGTAGCATCTCAGGGTACAGACTGCAAACACAGTCCTGGGACCCCAGTGCTCATAGGAGAAGTAAGCTGGAGTCTGAGGCACCCTTTGTTCTGAGGCACTGGTCCCCTCTGTGCTCACTTAGGGTCCTCAACTTATTTCTGGGGTCCACCCCTCTGCTGGACTGAGACAGAACTCTCTGAACAAGATCCCATACCTCTGAAACTGAACAGAATGAAGTGAGGGGGCCCTGTATCTAGCCACACCTGCCCAGGGCTTCCAGGGGAACAGAAAGGATGGCCAAATACCATGGAGTACATCTGTCCTGGGATGTAGGGTCTACTCAGTCCTCACCTTGATGCCTGGCAGGTCTCTGTTTACCTGAGTCCACTTTCCTTAAACTAAGGTCTCACCTTTATGTGAGACCAAAGATGAAAATGATGGGCCACATAATGCAGTCACACCACTTCAGGTCCTCTCATGGCTGACAAAAGGGACAGGGAGGGCTTGGCTTTTGTACATTCTCTTGTGGGTTCACTCAGTCTTCTCTCACAATCCTTACCATGACTCCTCAAAAGGCCTGGGCCTCCTCCCTCTGCCTCCTTGAGTACAGCCCTCTATGGTTAAACCTCTCCTTTCTCAGATGCTCAAGCAGGAAGTCATGAAACATCACATTCTCAGCCCCTCCCCCACCCCAGCTGAAGTGGCCTTGGATTGACAGCAGGGGACTTTGTGTGGAATCCCCTTTGTTCTGGGGTCCAGAGTCCCATAGTTCTCCCTCTGTGTTCTCACCTTGACTCGCAGCAGGACATTGGCCCCTCCTCTGCTGACCTGAGGTCCTCTGGTCATACCAAACCCTCAATCTTGCTTAGACCAAGATGCAGAAGTTAAGAAATTCCCCTGTGGTCATCCTGCACTGAGGCATCTCAGGCTTACTCTACTCCAGAGTCCAGGTTCCCTCCATTCTCCCTTTTTGTCCTGGTATAACCTAGGTCCTCCCACTGCCATCCAGAGGCCCTGTTTTTTTTTTCCTTACACGAAGTTTCCAAAACATCTCAGACACCAAAGGGAAAGTCAGGAAACTGTGGTCCTCCCCCACCGTGGGCTCCTAGGAGTGAGTGTTCCAAGGTGCCTTAATCCTCCCTCTACATCCACCCTTTCACTTCCTGCTGGACCTGGGCATCCCCTCTGTGAACCTGAGGCCCTTTTCTTCTTCTTCTTTTTAGGCCTTTTTTACATTTTTAAATTTTTTAAATTTATTTCTTTAGTTAAACTTCACCTTAGGATATTTTTCCATTGATTTTTAGAGAGATTGGAAGGGAGGGGGAGAGACAGAGACATAGAAACATTGATGTGGGAGAGACACATCAATTGGCTGCCTCCTGCCTGAGCCCCAACAAGGGCCAGGGATCGATCCTGCAACCTATGTAAGTGCTCTTGACCAGAGTCAAACCCAAGACCCTTCAGTCAGCAGGCAGCTGTTCTATCCACTGAGCAAAACTGGCTAGGGCTAGGCCCTTTTCTTTATACCAATTCCCTAGTATCTCTCAGACTAGGATGTAAAAGTCAAGACACGCTGTGTATGGTAATTCTGCCCTCTGGGCCTTCCAGGTCTGATTCTCTTCTGGGGTCCAGGGTCCCTCTGTCCTCCCTCTGAATTCTCACCTTGATTCCAGTAGGACCTGGGCCCTCCCCTCTGTGGACCTGAGGCCCTTTTCCTGATACCATGTTCCCAGGATCTTTCAGACCCATATGTGGAAGTCATGAAACACTGCATGTGGTCATCCCGCCCTGGGGACTCCCAGGGCTGACAGCGAGGGTGGGCTTCTATGGGGTCCCCTCTGTTATGGGATCCAGGGTAGCTACATCTTCATGTTGACTGTGGCAGGTTCTCTGCCAGCCTGAGACCATGTTCCTTAAAATGAATCCTCAGAGTCTCTCAGACTAGGATGTGGACATCAGGAAATGCTGCGTTTGGTCATCCCACCCTGGGGACTCTCAGGGCTTACAGCAGGGGAGGGCTTTGGTGGGATCCCCTCTGTTGTGGCTTCCAGAGTCCCATTAGTGTTTCCTCAGGGTCTTCACTTTGACTCTGGCAGGACTTGGGCCAGTCCTCTGAGTATCTGAGGTCCCACTCCCTATACCAAAGCCCCCAAGTCTCTGAGACCTGGATGCAGAAATCACCTGGTGTCATCATCCTTCCCTGGGTGGGATGATTCTGTTCTAGGGTCCAGGGTCCCTCCCTCCTCCCTCATGTTCCTCACCTTGAGTCCTGGCAGGTCCTGGGATCCTCCCTCTGTTGACCCAAGGCCAACTCCTCAGATCAAGGCCTCACTGCCCTGAGTCCTCTGCAGGAAGTCAGTGTTCGTCACATCCAGTGCCAAACCCAGAAATTCCAAAGCCTGATGGCAGGGGCTGAGATGGATTCCATAGGGTCCTTTAGCCCTTCGTCTGATCCATACTTTGACAGGGCCTGGGCCTCCTGTCCTCTATGAACCTGAGACTGCAATCTTCAGACCAAGGGTCTGACTCCCCGAGTTCCCTGAGGAAGTGGGGGTGGAGCAGGGGGAGGTGCAGTTTTCAACATACAAACAGGAAGCCCAACTTCAGGAATTTAAATTCCTGCCTCATTCACCTTATACTGTTAAACCCCAAATCTAGATACTGTATCTACTATGATCACCCCCAAGATTTTTAACAAAGCTAAGATAACCAGTTGAGCAACTCTATTCATTAAAGACAGCCTAAAGGCAATGATTTCAACCTTGAAAAAAGAAATCTGGGGAGAGCCACATGGACAGTGGAAAAAGGGGGGTGAGATGGAAAATTTCTCTGGTAGTAGCCAAGAAGTGAATGGTTTTCAAGGTGCATAAGAGCAACCTGTACTAGGGAAGCAGGATGATTCACATCTCCACAGACACAGTCACATTACCTTGAAAAGATTTTAGGTAAATCTTATGAAAACTAGCTAATGGTGAAGGATGAGAAAGAACAATGAACCACTGAAATGGGTGGCCTGGGGAAACGTTTGGAGGAAGCATCATCTCCCTACCAGGTGACCATCAGAATTTGAACCTGGGGTCAATAAGTTTGAGAAGGCTTAGGAGTGCTAAAGAAATGCCCCTTTTCTCTTACCAAAGCATCTCGGCCTCCTCACCACTCCCCATGGAAGTGTCAGGATGGTGCTTTATCATGTCTAAGTTTCTCTCCCAGAGCTACCATAAGCTGGAGGAGAGGCTTCCTGATTAATTAAAGCCTAGGGGGTGTGGCCCCTCATTGTCCTAGAGAAAAGCATATGTTCAGGAGGCCTGGGGTAGGGCCCTGGGAAATTTTGACATAGTGAAGGTGACCAGGAAACCACAAACTCCTAGTGCAGTTATGGAACATTCAACCCCATTCACCAAAAGAAGGTAAAAGAGGAAGAAGCCCTGTTAACCCAGGTCCAGTGTCCAGGATGAAAGGACCACACCCAAACTTCTCCTCCTCTTCTTTAGTGGCATCTCCCCAAGACTCCCTGGTCTTGCCTGGCAGATACCATCCTCAACCCATACTTTTCCTCATGAAGACTTTTTTCCCTTTCATCCCAGCCATTTCCCTACAAACCAATGTCCTTCTGTGCTCACTTTGTTGTCCTTCCAGGTACTAAAGACATCCATGGGGGTGAAAATGTCTTTAAGTGAGTTCAAGAAAAGGAGCCTTTCCAAAAATTCCTACCCCTTCAAAAAAACCTACGAAAGCTATAAAGCCAACAATATGTGGCCATTATCACAGGGCAAATGAGGAACTGAATAAAAATGATCCAAGAAAGACCAAGATAATGTAGAAAATTCACCACCTCAAATGATAACTTGGGCAGCCAATAACTACAGAGCAAATCCAAAGACTTCAGAACTATCTATGAAGTCCCTGAAGTCTGGCCCCCAAGAAATGCTGACAGTGTGGAAGCCAAATTTTACACCTACAAGGTACACCAATAGTGATGATTAAAATAAAATTGATAAGTGGTTCACTTCTAGTCTAAGCAAAATTTGCAGACAATTTTTATTAAATTTATTGGG